TATATGCTGATAACCACAAGGAAAGAAGAAAACACGAAGTTCCCAAGCGCTTTCGTGTAATTCACATCTTCAGGGGTGAGTACAGACTAGAGAGAGTAATACAAATCAAGGTGTATATATACAGAGGAGGGTGAGACCAGGTCCACAATGGTCAGGTATTAGGTAATGACCCTACTAATCTTAAAATAGCACACAACGGTTGGTGGTCAGGTCAGATGGTCAAGTGACCCGGCCTTCTCACCTGATCACAAATCTTCTTAATTACAAAATTGTCCAGCTTGTACATGCCGTTACTCAAATTCATGTTGAATGTTTCGGTATGTTTAATAAGACTAGATTCTATGATGTTCCTACTGTCAATTGACTTACATGGTAATATTGAGGAGGCATTATCCCAGTCAATGCAATGCTTGTTATCCCTCAAATGAACAAACAGAGCATTGGATTCCTGGCCTGTCCTAACACTGTATTTGTGTTGTTTAATTCTAGTTGCAAGATCTTTACCTGTCTGGCCTAAGTAAAACATATTACATTCCTTGCAAGGAACTTTATAAATGCAACCAATTGTGTTGTTGGGGGAGTTCTTGATTAACATTTGTTTAACAGTGCATGAGTTTTTAAATGCCACATTGACGTTCCAGGTTTTTAGCAGTGCAGGAATGTGAGAGAAATTTTTGTGAAATGGTAATATTAAGATATTCTTATGGTCATGGGTGGGCTTGGGATCAGTTCTATAAAAAGTTTTCTTAGTAATGTTTAAGCATTTGTCTATGAAAGATCTAGGGTATTTAAGGTTTGAGCCAATATTATATATATATTTGTATTTCTCATCGATGAATTCCGGACTGCAAATTCTCAAGGCACGTAAAAACATTGTTGAAAATACTGACTGTTTGACTTTATTATGGTGGGCAGAATAATAATGAATGTATGAACACACATTAGTTGGTTTTCTATAAATACTGAACTTAAAAGTGTTACCTATTTTGTGTATCAGACAGTCTAGGAATGGCAATTTACAGTCTTGCTCTAATTCCACAGTGAATTTGATCGAGGGGGCTAAGTTGTTAAGTTGTGGCAGGAAAGCTTTTAGGTCCTCATTACATGGCCAGAGACATAATACATCATCAACATACAGTGATTTACTTGCATATATATATATATATATATATATATATATATATATATATATATATATATATATATATATATATATATATATATATATATATATATATATATATATATATATATATATATACACATATATATACACTTAGAGTTTTGTGAAAGCATGTATCAAACTGAGTGGTGTGGGATATCTTTCTCTCTCTCGTTCGTTGCGTTCATTAGTGTGGATGGACATGAGCTGCCTAACATATGAACGAGGGCAAGGTAGGGTACCTAACACCACCACCACCACAACTACCACCAGCATCATCACCACCACCACCACAACTACTACCATCATCACCACCACAACCACCACCACCACCACCATCATCACCACAACTACCACCATCATTATCACCACCAACTACCACCATCATCATCACCACCACAACTACCACCATCATCATCACCACCACAACTACCACCATCATCATCATCACCACCACCACCACAACTACCACCATCATCACCACCATCACAACAACTACCATCATCACCACGGTCAAAGTGGATATTTCATCATGAACTTTTCCAGGAATGAAAATCAAGTGTCTGTTTTTTTCTCTCATAAGAATATATTAACCACAACCTATTTTTATTTTTTCTTACAAACAAACAAACATTAAAAAAAAACCTTCGTGTTGACTGATTGACTGATAGATGTATTAGACCCATTATTGCGTTTTCAGTTGCAGGACTTCACTAAGTGTGTGTGTGTGTGTGTGTGTGTGTGTGTGTGTGTGTGTGTGTGTGTGTGTGTGTGTGTGTCTAACCTTCATGCTGGGGGTTCATAACAGCTTTTGCTGCTTCCATATTTTTCCTTTCTCATCCTTGTCGTCGTAAGCTTTTTTTTTGGTATTGGTGTGTATTAGTCAGCACTATGTCTGCCTTATAGGGCCTGGCTTTTGTGAAGGTTTGAGGTTGTGAGAGGTTGTTTTTTTTTAAGGGCAGTTGAAGGTATTTAGTGTTGGTTGTGTTTTGTTTATATTTTTGTGTGTATGAGAGAGAGAGAGAGAGAGAGAGAGAGAGAGAGAGAGAGAGTCCACAACACAGCCTTCATTAGGTTAACGAGAGAATTAATTTAGTTCTCAGTTTATTACTGCAACACACACACACACACACACACACACACAACAAAATAGGCTTTATATATGCCAACAATATGATCCAAATAATAGAAATATCCCACATGAATATGACTTTTATTATAATTTTTTTTTTGCTCGTGTGAATGTCGGGGATTTAACTTTAATTGTATATATAAATAAGGACCTGTGTGTGTGTGTGTGTGTGTGTGTGACGCTGCTTTATAAGGGAGGTGGGGAGGTCTTCTCTTCTGGGTACAGGTCTCGTGGTCACTATTTCCGGGTGTCCTGTTTACTTTGTGTTCCACCCCCCGCCCCCTTCCACGTACTTCCTGCCTCCCAACAACCGCTCTCACCCTTCCCATCACGAGGGAACGGGGCCGAGTTGCTTTTACTTTGTGTGTGTGTGGGGGGTGGTGATATGCCTGTCTCCTCCGCACTTATGCACTTGGGGTGATGTAATAATAATAAATAACAATAATAACTATTAACGGTTTATTGAAAAGGTTTTGCAGCCCGACGGCTGAATATATGCATCGGACAAAAATGACTTATTACATATAAAGACAAGGGGTAGGTGGGTCGTTTAACAAAAGCTTTCATGACTGAAAGAAGGAACAATGGTGTGTGTGTATTATATACTTCTGACTACTGAGACTAGGATACAGAAACAGTTACTTTTACGCCATTGCTTTCATCACTATCACCCTCACCATAACTCGCCTGCACCATCATCACTACCATTACTAAAACCACCATCAATACCTTCACCTTTCACCATCATCACCCTCACCTTTCACCATCATCACCCTCACCTATCACCATCATCACCCTCACCTATCACCATCACCCTCACCTATCACCATCACCCTCACTTATCACCATCATCACCCTCACCTATCACCATCATCACCCTCACCTATCACCATCATCACCCTCACCTATCACCATCATCACCCTCACCTATCACCATCATCACCCTCACCTATTACCATCATCACCCTCACCTATCACCATCATCACCCTCACTTATCACCATCATCACCCTCACCTATCACCATCATCACCCTCACCTATCACCATCATCACCCTCACTTATCACCATCATCACCCTCACCAGCACCACCTACAGTAGGGGAGGAATATCCACCTGATTTAGTAGGTGTGTGCTTTCAGTGGAATCTTTAATCTGCTCATATATTAGAACATGTTTGTAATATATCTGTTGTTATCTGTTCTTATAACAGGGGGGGTCTCTCTGAACCATTTAAGTATGCCTTATGGTTGCAGTAGTGCGAGGATGATAATATTTTTGTTTTTACATTTTATTTCCAAAGTGAAACAGTTATGGGAAAAATTGACCATTGTGGGATAGTATTCTTTGCTGGTTATGAGTGAGAAACTATAAAATGGATGTTAAATATACATATATCCTCAATGCAATATAATTTTTTGCTCATTTAAAATCTTTGCATAAATTATACAGGGATACTCAGGTATGGTTAAATTACTAAAAGAAAAACAAAATCTAAAAGAAAATTGTGTATTGAGAGATGAGAAAGTGTTGTAGACTGTAAAGTGACCCCTAAAACCATGTAAAAAAAAGTAATTCACAAAAAGAACTTGAGTTTGATACACAGTTGCTAACACCGGTGAATGATGTGTGTCGGAGCTGTGTGTTCTTGGCTGCAGGCGTGGCTGAAGCAGGCTAAGGCCAGATTCCGTCACCGCATTGAAAAGCTGCGCGCACATCATGCCAGGAAACAATGGATCAAGAGGGAATTTGGAACCATTTCCTCAAAGCACAACTATCGCGAGTATGATTTCTATACATACAGCCCCTCCGCCCTTAACATCCAGCAGCCCCGGCACCCATACATGCCCACGACCTACCACGATGATGACACTGTCGATGAAGGCACTAGTCACTCAGATACGGAACAGGTGAATCACTGGTTTGTGTGATTATAAATAATTTTATAATACTGTACTTTAATGATGAATGTGTATTAAATATTAAATATTCTGGTTATAATGTTTATATATAATTAGATAATATTTGTTGAGTAGTGATATGGAGAGGTGCGAGTTGAGGATATGTGCCACCAATTTTGTTAGATACCACACAAAGACTTTATTGCTCACTGAATGATTATTACCTTAATTCATTCTTAGGAGGTCCTCTGGTAGTACAGTACTACATGTTGTATGACACACACATGCACACACACACACACACACACACACACACACACACACACACACACACATAGTATACAGTACAGTACTGTTAACAGCAGTCTTCAGTATACAGGTGTAAAATACTGATCACTCGAGTTCAGAAGTGCTGCATGTCAAGTTTTTTATCTAGTTCTGTACTGAGTTACCTAATAGAAAAGTGGTTGAAGGCCTCAAGCTCCAGCTCTTCAACTGCTTCTCCAACATAAGTTAATGCTCATGGGGATAAGCCAGAAACTGTAGGAGTTAGTGAGCAACATCAGGTACTGTACAAATAAATATATGTTGCCTGAGTAATAGTATAAATTGTTTACAGGGTGTTGGGGTGCTGTCTCCTCAACGATTAAGTCAACGACTGAATGAGAATGCTCTGGCACGAGAGGCTGTGGGAGAGAGTGATGCTGAACTTGCCCAGTACCTGAAAGATGAGAGAATTGCTCTCTTCCTCCAAAATGATGAGTTTATGGATGAACTCCGAACCAATCGTGAATTCATGACAGCTTTACAAGAAGGTTTGTAACTGTGTGCATAAAGAGATGAGCAATGTTCAAATTTACCAGTACAGTGCAGTACTTAACATTCTGAGAGCACTCAGACCATTGAAGATTTTTATTTTCTGACATTATTATACCCCCTGTTATTGATTAAGGGGGGGCGGGTATGTAGCAGTCTTATTTTAATTGGTCCATCTGTCTGTCTGTTCATTCATTCATTCATTCATTTCATCATTTAGTTATTCATTCCATCATGTACAAGAGATCTCGTAACTGGTTGGATGGACATAGTCCAGACATACACATGCACAATAGACACTACGGTACAGTACTGTACTTATAAAGGCCTACTAGACCTTGTCTGGTGGTCATAGATCAAATAGAAAGGTCAAGGTGTAGAGTACTGTATCTAGAAATATTTGTGTACATATAAGGTATCATAAGATAGAAGGTTCGATATTGACCTGACTTTGAATAGAGTTTATTTATGGTAGTGGGATGTGTGTTTGGTTTTGGTGTGTGTGTTTGTGTGATAACTAGACTTAGGGTTTGACAGGTATGAGCAGAATAGAAAAGGGCTGTTAATATTGAGCAGTGTTTTTTGTAGGTTTTCGTCAGTATAGTAGCTGGTTAGGTTACATTCAACATTGTATGGTTTACTTGATAGACATAGTTCATGAGAATGTTGAAGTGAATGGGGCCAAGTAAGGTGTATCTAAATCAATGGATTTAACAGTTGAGTAGTGGCACCAAAAAAGACTTCCAGGTAATCAGAAATATATGTAACAGGGTTACCTGTAATGTCATTATGCATGAAACCCTTATGGGTTATATCACCATTGGCTTGGTTGAAGGCATCATGGGAGAGAGATTTGTAGGGTTTTGTATTTTCTGAGATAATGGGTCATGCAGTGAGAAGTACTTTTCCTTAAGTAGAAGAAGTAGAAGTCAGTGTGCAGACGAGGTTCATCTTTCCAATTAATTCAAATGAAGAATCATTCACTACATCGTCTTGGAGAAGCAGCAGAAGAGTGATGTTGTGTGATATTTCTTGTCCTCACCTGGCACGGGATTGGGATAATAGCAGTTTTTCTTACCAGGAGAGATCACAAGTGCACACAGGATGTTGTACATTTCCGACAAGGGTGTCTGCTGGGGGTGCCTGCTGTGGTGTCTGCTGGAGTGTTTGCTGGGGTGCCTTCTGGGGTGTTTACTGAGGTGTCTGCTGGAGTGGTTGCTGGGTGTTTGGGGACGTCTGCTGGGGTGACTATGGTGCATGAAGTGCATGGTACAGGGGGCTGGTTGGGCACTACAGTTCAATATACAGTACATTATTAATATACTGTATACAGTACAGTACTTAAACATATGCTGCAATGTTCACTGCTTAATGAACTTTGGGTCTTCACTTAATTTGTTTTTATTGGACTAACTCTTTACAGTACATGCTTATAAAATGCCATGTGCAATTATTAAATTGTTTTGCTCTACACCAGAAACTAGTTCATTAATCATAGTCCTGTCAACAGACACTGTTTCTCATTGATCAACATCATTATTATTATCACTTTTTATTATTTTCTTTCTTTGGATTCATCACCACTTGTATGATATCACCATCTGTTAGGTGGGGAATAACAGAGCATCACTCTCTACATTTAAACACTCATTAATATCGTTTGTCTTCAACCTTCTTGCATCATCAGAGGACATGGTTGTAATATATTATGACAAGGCAGACACTAAATTAATTAAAAAACAAAAACCAAAAACCAATCAAAATCAGTTTTATCTAGTTGGAATTTTGTTACAGTACTGACCGTGAGTTATGCCACCAGTTTTTCAGAATGTCTTGATCAGTGTTGTTCTAAGCATGAGTCACACCCCAAACTCTGTCCTTCACATTGAATTCCTTTGTGTTCTCTTAATTCCAAGGCTGCAGTTGTAGGTATTCAGCAAAGCCTTCCTGAACTTTTCTTAATATTTATGCATCATGGAATGCCAGATATTTTGCCCAATCATTCAATCAATCTCACAGGAAATCATATGACTCCCTTAAAAGCCTTCAGATTTAAACTTTTCCTAATAATAATCCATTCCTGTCGTATCAGAATAAGTGGATGTACTTAGCCTATCCTTGGGTCCTTGATTCCCAGTGGTGGCATCACACCTGGTGTTTGTAGTGTTTCTCTGGCAACATAATTAAAAAAAATATGTCTCAAGACCACCATATACAATACACCTGTATTGTCTGTAGATATGTTGAAGCATATACTGTACTGTACCTGCATTGCCAATATGCATGCAGAACTGTACATCTACATTGTTTATGTATATGCTGAAGTACTGTACAGCTACTCCCCGACTTACGACCTACTCAACTTACGACCACCCGGACATACGACTGCCTCAGTCGTACCAAAATTTTGTCAAATTACGTATTTTCGAGCCCCAACGTCGGTGATTGCGCTTGTTACTGACAAACTTTTCGTTTGTAATTCACTTTAAAATAGCTGGCAAGCTTAAAAGTGAGAGTTTTGTTGTGCTGAGAAGAAAAAGAGACACCCATTTTAGATTTTCTATGTACCGTATTATTTAAGCATTTTCGACTTACGACCATTTAGACTTACGACCTGGATTTGGGTTCCTAACCCCGACGTAAGTCAGGGAGCAGCTGTATATACAAGTACAGGTACCTGCATTGTTTATATACATGCTAAACTGTATACAATAACTGCATTCTCTATACAGGTATACATGCTGAATTAATGTTTTATGATGATTTGACTCAATAAATATATAACTTATCCATCTACAGTTAACCCTCACTTTACGCGGTTAATGTAACCCGGAGGATCCCGCGTAAAGTGAATAACATAACATATGGGATTAATTGAAATGGAGTCCGGGCCGATCCCCAAACTCCACTTTTTGACGACACACAACTATGTTGTAGTAAAAATATTATCTTAACTTTATGATGGTATGCACACACAATTAATAATAAAGAGAAATATAAATAATATTAGGTTTTTTAACACTTACATTAGTAGAAAAAATGGCTGGGCACACGGGGATGGGCGGTTGGTTCCGAGGCAGAGGGCAGATTATTGGCCCTCACCTGTGTCACTTGTATCAATTGTATCACTATCCACCACAGAGGCTTGCAGGGCCTCTTTGTCAAACTCCCCAAAGTCCATATAAGTCCATATCCTCACCATAATTATCACTATCACTGACTTGGGCCGGCTGTGGTGGGTGGCGGGTGAAGAACTGGTAATGTTTTGATGACTGGGCGACCTTGTGCGCACCATGTTCGCGCAGCTTACACAACATGGCGGATGGCGGGAGGTTTGGATCCAAAAATGGCGCGGCTCGCCAGCCGCTCTCCGCGTAAAGGGGTACACGCACCACGGAATGTGAGCATCCTGGGTTCCGGCAGGGCACCGCGTAAACGTGGAAACGCGGAATGTGGGACCGCGTACAGTGAGGGTTAACTGTATTTAATACTATGATATATTTCAGATTATGAAAGTGAGGCTGGAGATGATGATGAAATAGAAGGAGCAGAGGGTAAAGGGCAGCTGGCTCAGCTTGATGATGCAACACTCAGAGAAAGAATTGCTACTATGGGAAAAGGTGAGTTAGAGAGTCTTTGATGGTATAGAACAAAGACTACCATGGCAGAACACAGTGTTACAGCAGGAAGCAGCGGTTAATGAAGAGAGAGTCTATGAATGCTTATTATTCTCACCACCTTGCTTCATAGAGATAGAGTTTGCAGCTTAAAGATATACACTAAACACCTGCACTGTATAATGATAACACAATAAGGTTTCCAGATTAACATAAGGTGGTGGGTATGTCGAGGATATATTGGAACTTATTGATAACACATCTAATTTAAATTGAAAATTTCAGCTTCAAGAAAGAAATTTGCACAGATAGCGAAAGTTTTTTCACGTCGTAAACGCACGAGTGGTCGTAGTCTACTGCCAAGTGCTGGACGAGATCAGTTGCTTATATCTGCGGATCCACTAATTGAGGATGAAGATGATGACAGACAACCACAGGTAAAACAGTATCTTTATAAACAAACGTCTGGAATTTAAAGAAAGGCATGATAGTAGAGAGTGAACTTCCTCTCTAGTCAGTGACCTTGGAGGGAACAAGCACCTTGGCATTTAAATCTTGGCTTTCACTTAACAATCACAAAATTTACATAACAATTTATTAGTTTAAAAATTTTTATTTATTTATTTATATTTATTTATTTATTTATTTATTTATTTATTTATTTTTATCAAATAGAGTAATATTGTTGTAATAACTATCATTACCATCAGCTATTGCCAGCCCAGTTTTCAAGACAAGATATAGGAATTATCAGGCAACAACCAACCCATCACTTTAACTTTATGTACAATATTTGCAAGAATTGATCATATGTAACAGACTGACTCCTCAGGCTAATATTTTTCACCAGGTTGTGTTGTACTGTATATAGATTTCTCAAAGGATGATTAGCCATGAAAATGCATTCCCATGAAATCACCATTGCAATGTTTGAATAGTATAAGCCGCAGGTAAAAGACACATTAGATGTTCAGTGGCAATATGTTCAGAGTGGAACAGCCTTGTTAGTCATACTGTATGTATTTACACCTTTGAATAAAAAATCTGTATGGTTGCAGTTGATTAAAAAAAAACTAAAAAGGGTAGCAACAGAAAAGGTCATAGCATCAATATATTGTAGAACAATTTGTAAAACTTTTCAAGAAGCTTAATGGTTGTGTTATATAACAGTTGCACACTTTTCAGGAGAGGCATGATAATCTCATACAGAGAAACAGACAATAAATTTATTTGATAAGAATACGCAGTACTGTACGTACTTGGTTGTATTTTTGTCTGTTTAACCTGATTTGAACAAAGTTACATTTGTTTGAATTATCTGAAATTCAAATAAGTCAGGTTTTACCATAATTTTATTAAAAAAGCAACTTTGTGTTTTACTACTCAGTGGTCCCTCGGTTAACGAACACAATTCGTTCCAGAAGGTTGTTCGTTAACCGAAAATTTCTTTAACCGAAACCATTGTTTCAATGGGATTTTGGATAATTGGTTCCAGCTCACCGAAAATTACATAAAGTAAAAAAAAAATGCAGTAAAGTACACTTACTTTGAGATGTGTATGTAGAAGGCTCCTGGTTGATGATGCTGATGTGAATTTGAAGTGGGAGGTGGAGGAGGAGAAGGGAGATGAGAAGGAAGTGGGGGTGGAGGAGAAGCATTTTACTGCTTCTTGGTAGGCGAGTCACCTTCCATGAAAATGTCAGGAACCTCTGGACTGACAGATTCTCCAGCAGGAAAATCCTCTCTCCTTTTTGAAGTGGAAGGCTGAGGGGTAGCATCTTTCTCCCGCTGCCTCTTAGAGAAGAAACTGTCGATTTTTGTTTGTGGGGCATTTCTCCTCCTGATCATTAACTGATTTTTGAAGAAGGAGACCACTCTGTCCTCAACATTACACAAAATAGCTTCTGTTGTTTCCACATCAGGGTGCCTTGAAGCCAGTTTCCTGAACATCTCCCAGTGGTAAACAACATCCTTCAAATTTGAAGAAGACATATGGTCATCACTTTCCCTTTCCTCCTCACCACTGTCAGCTTCCAACATCTCATCCAGTTGCTGCAAGTCTTCAGGAGTAAGTTCCTGCTCATGAGACATCACAAGCTCTTCCACATCATCCTTCTCCACTTCGAGGCCCCATGACTGACTAATGGACATAATCTCCTTGTCCAACTCCGCTTCTTCCTCAAATCTCCCAAAATCATGGACTGCTGATGGCCACAGTGCTTTCCATGCAGAATTGAGGGATCTAGTGGAGACTTCTCGCCATGATGACACAATCAATTTTACAGCCTCCAGGATGTTAAATTGTGTCTTCCAGAACTGTACCAGTGTTAGATCAGGATCAGTGGAAGTTGCCTGATGACATATCCTGAACATTTTCTTCATGTACAGCTTCTTAAAGTTGCTGATCACATTCTGGTCCATTGACTGTATAATTGATGTAGTGTTAGGAGGCAAAAACAACAATTTGACAAAGTCAAATCGAGCCTCCAAAGTTCTGGCAAGTTCAGGGTCATGACCAGGGGCATTATCCATAAGGAGAATAGCCTTTAAAGGGAGTTTATTGGTGGTTAGGTAGCTCTTCACAGAAAGGCAAAACACCTCAACAGCCCATTCATTAAAGAGCTGTCTTGTCACCCATGCCTTACGGTTGGACTTCCAATAAACTCCAAGCTGTCCTCTTACCACTTTTTGTTGCTTGAACACCCTGGGGTTCTCAAAGTGGTAGACAAGCATAGGCTTCAGTCGGAAATCCCCTGAAACATTGGCACCAAGCAATAGAGTGAGACGGTCTTTCGTTGGTTTATGCCCAGGTAAAGCGGCTTCATCTCTGGTGATGAATGTCCTTTTGGGCATTTTCTTCCAGAACAGCCCAGTTTCATCCACATTGAACACTTGCTGTGGAAGATAATTTTCTTCCTCCACCAGTTCTTTAAATTCCACTACAAATTTTGCTGCTCCTTCTTTATCTGCATTGGCAGCCTCACCATGCCTAATAACACTGAAAATGTCACTTCTTTTCTTAAATTTTTCAAACCAGCCCTTGCTGGCCCTAAACTCTTCAAACTCTGTGCCAGAAGAACCAGGTTGATCTTCCTTCAAATGTTCGTAAATTTCCTGGCTCTTTCACAAATAAATTCTTTCGAAATTGAATCACCTTTCATTTGTTTTTCCTCAATTCAAATGAGAAGTAACCTCTCTGTTTCTGCAATTAAGGATCTACCTTTAAACACTCTGGTAGATTTGTCTCTCACTTTCACTTCCTTGAACTTGTCTTTCTGTGCAAGAATTGTCGACACAGTTGATGCCGACATACCATAGTCTTTACTAAGCACATTTGTTCTAATGCCTGTTCATGTTTCTTTATTATTTCCTGTTTTACCTGGATTGAAATCGCCTTTCTAGATTTCTTTGGACCCATGCTGGATTCAATTTCAACACTAAAGTTTTAAGTTTAATTGCTGTAAATAAAGATTATTTTCTTTAAATCAACACTGCACTGCGCTATATATTATCAATATGTTAAAAAATTTCAGAATGACCAATAATTGGTACTGTAAAAATAGTTTATTCAAGAGAGCCACAAGCAAGATGTTACCTCCACTGACCAGAGATACAAACTGACGCCTTTGTGGGTGAGTCAAGTGGCTGTTGGGCACACCAAAAACTAGTTTCCTGTACTCCAATTATGTTAAATAACTGTTAAAATGACTAAAAATGTTAATATAAAACTTGGAAAATTATTGGATAGTACAACCTTCTTGATATTTACTCAAATGGGAACGAATTTAAGCCCTAGAACCGATTACTGTATTGGCGGACTAATATTCCAGCTGGTGAGCAAGCGAAAACATGTTGACACGATTTTGTAAGAATTTCGTTAACCGAAATGAAGATTCTTATGGAAGGTAATTTGTTAACCGAGGCGTTCGTTAACCAAGGGACCACTGTATTTAGTTTTTCAGGTGAATTGTGACTGATTTATGAAGGGAGAGAAAGAATGATGTGTAACATCAGTATAAAGTGGATGCGAGGGTTGAACATTTGTTCTTTCCTTTGGTCAACTACCAGTTACACATTGGAAAAAATTGACAAAGATTTTAAATAAAAATGTCGAAACACAAATATAAGTTGTTTAAATTGGGAATTTTTATTGATGATACAATAGTTGTTTACTTGCCTCTTATTACTGCACCCAGGTTCAACCCCTGGGTCGGATATGAGAAGGGTGTTTTCCTTATCCAGTGTAACTCTACCTGGTATAGTACCAAACATTGCAGGTTTATCTTGGTACAATACTCCAGTTTCTCCTGCACAAACACTGGACAGTAAAGGTAGAACAGTAACAGAGAATAGACCAACTGCCAGATTGGCTAGTAAGCTGACTACAGTATACGTGAAAATGAATAATTAAATTGAATTAAATTAAAAAAATATATTTTCTTTTGATTCCTCAGCAAATGGAAGGAGGACTGTCATCATCACCAAGACACTTACGGTAGAAAAAGGCAACTTGACACCTGTGATGCGGCTTAAGGATTTTTTTTTAATTATGAATATGCAACTGTTTATCAGTTGAGGCACAGGAGGTTCACATAGTGTATATTTGTACGTGTGTGAATTACTTGGCATATTATTTAAGTAATGTATCCCAGACTAGCAGCAGCAGGTAGTCTTGTCTGTTGTTTTTTTTTAGGTGTGATCATTATCAACACAAATGAAAATTGATGCACTGTATAAAAAGAACTTATTCAGCAAGTGTGTTTCTCAGATCTGTGAAGACAAATGCTAATTGTTTAGAAGAACTCATTACTTGTTAAGTCAGCTAATACTTATTTTCCTCAAGCTTTATTCATCAATCTTAATACATGTACAGTACTTAAGACACATAGTATATAATGTTTATGAGTTTAGTTTGTATAGTGTAGTATATTTTATACTCTCTTTATATTATCTTTATCATGATTTAGATACCTTGAGGCAGAATATTTTTGCTCATATAAATCCTACTGTAGCTTTTGTTTATACTGACTGTGTATTCAACCAAGAAAGACAGTTTAACATGTACAGTATATGTTTTTTAAAAACCCTATTGTTTTACTGGTTGTTGAATACTACTTCATGTAGCCATATGCTGTTCATTTCATAGAAAAACTTATCAGCTAAGAAATCTCACATTGTAAAAATAATGTTACCTATTTGTATAGGTGTTAATAAAACCCACAGTATACTGTAAGTTGAAGGTCAAATTGCCTAAATATTCTATCCTGGAAATATCTAATTGATTATTTTTCATAGCAAAAGTAGTACCGTAATTATGAAGGGTGATGCAGTATGACATTTTGCACAGCTCTGTAAAGGAAGACTGATTCTTAGGTAGTGATAATTAATTCACAGTTTGATCCAGTATTTTTGTTTCACCCCTGCAGGCTCTTTACCACTACAGGTTGTACCTCTCTAGTCCGGCATTCTGTGGTCCGGAACGATTTTAGTTTGTCCAATAGGTAGTTAGGCATTTTTTTTTTTTTTTTTTTTTTTTTTACTTATCTGAATTATTATTATTATTACAGGAGTATTAAATTTTTGCCCCTCAGGCCCCAATGTGGGTCAGTGACCTATGCCCGGGTGGGCTAATCCCCTTAAAAAAAAAAAAGCCGCGGGAAATTAAGGTTTGTTTACATCCGGCAGTTCGGCTGCTCTCTCTCTCTCTGCTTGTCTATACAGAGTACAACATTTAACCCTTCAATATATATGAGCAGTAAATAAGTGTTGCTTTCATATTCTTATGTAGAGTAATGACGATATATTTTCACATGTGCGCACTTACATACGAGCAGTCTCACTTTTTTTTTTACCATTAATGGTTAGCTACTTATATTGTTCCATTTATTAACATTAAATAACATTACAGGTACTTCAAGCAACCATATTCATTTTTTACATTAATTTTACTACAGCTAAACTCAGGGTCTTATTTTCTTCAGTTTTATATGTAGAACCAATCAGTCACTGGTTTCGTAAGCTTTAACATAAACAATGCCGGCAGCCGTCTCGTCTCCTCTAATATTCCACGTATTATTAATAAATTGTATTGTTAATTTTGCACACACGTACATTAATTCAATAAAAACAAATTCAGAAACATTAATTAAAATATATATGAACAGTAAATAAGTGTTGCTTTCATATTCTTATGTAAAGTAATGACGATATGTTTTCACGTGTGCGCATGCGCACTTACATATGCGATCTCTCTTTTTCTTTACCATTATCGTTAGCTACTTCTATTGTTCCATTTATTAACATTAAATAACATTACTTAAAACAACCATATTAATTTTACTACAGCTACAACCAAGGTCTTATTTTCTTCAGTTTTATATGTAGAACCAGTCAGTCACTGGTTTTGTAATCAACGAAAACAATGCTGTGTCATTTCCTCGTGTGTTTTAATATTCTACGTATTATTAATGAATTGTATTGCTCATTTTGCACACATAAACATTAATTCAATAAAAAAGACATTCAGTAATAAACAATAATGAATCTTTTGTACATAAGAGAAATGACGCTGTTTACACGATTATGCACGTCGTCTGCACGTTGGCGGGCCGTTCAAACCCGTCGAAATTCAAGTTTCCGCCGTCAAAATTTTTATTTATTTATTTTTTTTGTGTTCCAATAAAATACGTTAAGAATTAAAAACTCGCGAAATTTGAGAAGCTACTATACGACATTTAACCCTTCAATATGTCTTCAAAGAGACCATGACGCAGAGAAAGTGGTGCTAGTGCTTCCAGGCATAAGCACAAGTCACTATCTATCCAGGAAAAGGGTGAATTTCCATGGTCCGGCACCGGTCAGGTCCCGAGGTTGCCGGACTAGAGAGGTACAACACAAGATGGTCAGTACCAAAGGCAACAGAGTCCCTTCCATTACTGTCATTTCTTTATCCTAATTGCCTTACCAGATATATTATGTTATCATGCTCCTAGTAAATAATGATGCTAAGTAATGAAGCCAAAGTAAGCTATTGTGATCATGTTGCATAGGAAAGACATTTTCACACTATTAATGCACCTATAATATCATATCACAAAAGAGACATACCGGTATATGTTAGAGTAAGAAAATAAAAGTAGATTATGTATTTAAGAAAAAAAAATATTTAACAAATTCCTACCATAAAAATTTGATAAGATGCTCATTAAAATATACATTATATAAATAGTTATAATTCTATAAGATTGTGTGTAGCTAAGATGATGACCAGTCATTTACACTATACTGTGTCTTTAAACCCTTTAAGCTTGTGGCTGTATAGTGAGCAAAAATGGCCTTCCTTACCATGTTAATGATATTGAATTTTTTTTGTGATTTCCTTTATACGAGTGACCGTATGATATGCCAAAAAGCTTTGGTTAATTTATGACCTGATACCCTACTGTTTCTTGGCTCTTGTAATGTGTCAAACATGCCATTGGGTCAGAATCCAAGAGACCCTTAACAAAAGTGAATGAGGACTAAACACTGTGTATCCTTATTGACAATTTTTTTTCATTAGAAGGGAGATTGGAAGCATTAGTTGCTCTAGAGAGGCAGAATGTCTAATCAAAGCCACACTAGCATGATGCACTTTTTGCCTTGGCTGATAGGGCCACCATCTTGAATTCTAGGATTAACCTCCATTTCATTCATTGCCTAATTTCTTGGCTACTCCCACAATGAGTGTCATTTTGGGGTTAGTTGAGTGAATTACAGAGTTTTTGGTGTTGTAATTATGGTATGGTGTATGACTGGCCTTTATTTATGTCATTTTGATAAGGTTGTATATGTGCTAGCAACCCATCTGGAGGTTTGGGTTGTTTATCATTGCTGTTGGAGCGTTCTTTGGCTTACCTGTGTCATGAGGAAAACATCTAATGCACTTAGAGGTGTGTTATTCTGCATGCTGTCAGTGTCTAACTCTGGGTATGGTTCTCAACTCATAGGATGCAGGAGAGTTACCGGTGTATGGTTCTCAGCTCATAGGATGCTGGAGAGTTACAAGTGTATGGTTCTCAGCTCATAGGACACAGGAGAGTTACTGGTGTATAGTTCTCAGCTCATAGGATGCTGGAGAGTTACAAGTGTATGGTTCTCAGCTCATAGGACACAGGAGAGTTACTGGTGTATAGTTCTCAGCTCATAGGATGCTGGAGAGTTACCAGTGTATGGTTCTCGGCTCATAAGACACGAGAGTTACTGGTGTATAGTTCTCAGCTCATAGGATGCTGGAGAGTTACCAGTGTATGGTTCTCAGCTCATAGGACACAGGAGAGTTACCTGTGTATGGTTCTCAGTTCATAAGATACAAGAGAGTTACTGACTTATGGTTCTCAGCTCACTCAGTGACTAAACAGGCCTCCATCCTATATATATCTCCAGGGGATATTGTATAATAGTTCTATGGCCTTGCATGACTAACTGTGGATAAATCCTTAGGGGGCCATCTCAGCTAAAATCCCATATTATGACTGTACCCAGTACTAGGTTATGCAGATACTCCCTCTCCAGTTGGGTTGTGAGGCAGCTTGTTAAAAACTGAATGATGAGTGATATGTAGTGTTAAGGTATTTAAATACAAATCTGTACAGTATTTGTTTTCATCATATACCTATGCATGTGTCCAACCTCATCACTGATCTTATGTAATGTGCACTTACTTGTATCTCTTTCAGCACATTTCAATTAAAAAAAAAATTAATAAATTTTTTAAATTACTATTTTTGTTCAGTATAATATATATTTACTATTGGATAACCTGAGTATTTTGTTGTTCCTGGACACACATGTGTAGAGTCTCACCACTGTGTTCACATATACTTCCAGTACTCTGTTGTTATTATTCCTGTGGTAACTTTGCTACTGTATAATTGCCATAGAATCTCCGATCTAGTCTTGTGACATTCTGGATGTGCAGGTATCAAGTGATTTTATGTACTACTGCATTTGCTTCTCTCAAAGAACAAGGTTGTTCCAGGTCTTTTTCCTTGTGCATTTTCCAAGGTTATGTTCCATCTCATACCAGAGCTTTCCTGTTTGATCAGTGATGCATATTGCTAGGTCACTGACTGTTAATGATGATGCTTTATTTAGAGGTTAAGGGTTTTCATCTGAATTGATGTTAGACAAATACTCTTTCTCTGGGTTTTAATCCTACGGTTGATTAATTTAATCACCAGCCCAGAGTCCTTGGCCCCTATCCCCCGAGACTTCCAGAGGAGTAGATGAATTCTCTTTGGGGATGGGATTATTCTGACCCCTTCCTTCCCATGAGTATTTCAAGATCATCCTCTCTTGTTGCATCTTTTTCTGAACCATAATCCAGTTTTCTCACTGATTTTCTGCTCTTTTCTGCTTAATGAGCGTCTTGTGTGGATTTTAGTCTTAACATGATGGCCCTTTGGTCTCTGCTGAATTTTGGGTTATTGTACCCTCTCTCCCCAACTGATGTGCATGGTAGTAGGTCTGAATTTCCTTGGATTTGGTTTCACAATGACCTGTTCTGAGAGGTCTTGTGATGCTGGAGAGTGATTTCCCTAATATTCAGGATATCACAGGAGAAATTTGTGACAAGGGAGTTTGTGAACCTATCCTACCTGTGTATCTGGATTAACTCCCCTGTTAAGGTGCAGGTCTCATTAGCACTTGGAGTACTTATAGTATTGTATCTGTGCCTCCTTTTTCTAGCTGGCTGCAGATACATGAACCATGTGTAGTAGTATTAGGGCATCAGGTCATAAATGGAGGACTGATCCTGATATCCCGTCTTATAACTGAGCCCATAGCTAGGTAACTCTGACATCCTCCCTCCTCCAGGTGGCTTGCTGAAAACATTGATAATGAGTGAAATGTAGGGATGAGCCTTGTCAGGTGAGACATGAAGTTCATCATATTAATAAGGCATGGTTTTAATTAGCTTCCTGCCTCTTGAGAGCATCTGTTTCTTCTAATATCCCAATTTTAGGTGATAGATATGATGGGGAGGGATGGAGAATTACAAGAATAGCCCCAGTCACCAATAAAC